GCCTGCCACTGGGCAGACTCCAGGATCCTCTTTTGCACGTGCTGGTGTTTTAACCTCCTGCTTCACTGCACTGTTTGCTTCGGCTTCTTTTGCTTGTTCATCATCTTTCTTTGCATTTGCCTCCTCATAGGAAGTTCCTGGCAAAATCACAGAATAGAATACAGCATCAATGCAAAGCTCCGAATCTTCAACTTGGTACATGTTAGACAATCAGAATTACTTGTCGGGCTGTCCTTTCAGAGCTCTCTTTCTTAACTCTTCAACAGCAGCCAGCGCTTGTTCAACACTGAGAGCCGGCTTGGGCATGTTAACACAAAGGGGATCTACAAAGGGACACTAGGCAGGGGCACATGTACACATTATATATGACGTAGTTGGGTCGAGTGTCTGCGGCATCTGCTGAGAACCTGGTGATCTTGGAACCAGCCAGAACTTCACTCGCTAGATAAGAAAATGCTGCAGCAGGGAATGTATGAGGCTCACACACTGAAGAGTCACACTGGAGTCACGCTAGAGTCACGCTAGAGTCACGCTAGAGTCACGCTCCCTGTAATACTGCTCTTAAGCACAGTCACGGAAGAATCACGCTAGAGTCACGCTAGAGTCACGCTAAAGTCACGCTCCCCGGGTCCTGGCCCAAACTCTGCTATTTATATGAAAATAGTATCGTTCCTAGCAGTCAACAGCATATTGCGGGTTTAGGAACCAGGCCCCCGAAGCCACGGACGGAGCTGCACACGGAGCCCATCAGTGTATTTCAAGAGTGCAGGCCCTCCAAATTGGAACCAAATATGTAACCCAGGCCCCCTCCAATTTGCAATAATGAGTGCCGGAACCCTGCACTCTTGTACACGGCTCTAGCTACAAGCCCTCAGCCACCGGGTGATATCGACCCAGAAGCTGCTCTGCTCCGAGGAATTGCAGAATCTCATCCATATCTGCAGAAGCCCAGGCTGGTGCCGCTGCCACCTGCACAGATTAGTATTGATCCTTATCCAGGGTATATAATAGCCGCTTGCCCCCAAAGTCCATATAAACCCAGACTGTGCCTACCCAATTCTAGGTATCGACACGTACTGGAATTCAACCCCTAAACCCTACCCCTAGGGTATATCTAGATATATATCTATGATAATAAATCTAGAAATAACTGATACTCGAAGCCAACCCCAGACCCTAGGTTCCCTATATCAATATAATTAGAAGGCGGGCGTGTGTAATAATAACCACCTTTTTTCTGAATGAAAGCCCATGCCAGCTCCAGGTATCGATACTCCAAGCCAAGCTGAAACCCTAAGACCTATAACAAAGAACACATTATAATTTCCAATCCCATATATAAGCTATACATGCCAGGCTCTAGCTAGTTGATGAACTTGAGTATAAATATATTATAATATATTTATATTCAAGTTCATCAACTAGCTAGAGCCTGGCATGTATAGCTGTAGCGAATATGAGGAAACCCAAGCCCGCTGTTTGAAACCCAGGGCATATATCAATTATATAATATCGTCAGTTATTATAAAACTAGCTACAGCCTGGGCTTTCCCCATCACCCCCAACCTGACCTGAAGTCCAGTTCGAATCCCTTATATTATAATCTATATAATTATAACCCTAACTATAAGTAGAATTAGATTATTAATGACATCCTACTCCCCAGCCTGGCTCCTCCCCAAGAGAAGCCCTCAAGTTCATCAACTAGCTAGAGCCTGGCATGTATAGCTGTAGCGAATATGAGGAAACCCAAGCCCGCTGTTTGAAACCCAGGGCATATATCAATTATATAATATCGTCAGTTATTATAAAACTAGCTACAGCCTGGGCTTTCCCCATCACCCCCAACCTGACCTGAAGTCCAGTTCGAATCCCTTATATTACTCTATAATTATAACCCTAATAAATATATAAGTATAATTAGATTATTAATGACATCCTACTCCCCAGCCTGGCTCCTCCCCAAGAGAAGCCGTGGGCCAGAGTCCATTTTCTTCTGAAGTTTCTTCCCATGCCGCTCCTTGGCACATACACAGATTTCGCGACTGGGTTGGGGTTTACAAGCTCCTGGGATTGAATTATTACGGGTTCGTTATAAAAAGAATAGATTTCAACTAAGATGGCTTCCCATATGGAGACAGCAAGAATCCACGGATTTTAAATGCAACCGCAAGATTTTCTTGCAGAACTTGCGCGGGTACTCCTGCGTTTTCTTCAATAGCCTGTCACCAGTCCTGGGCCAGCACAGGAGTTGCAGTTGGGGTCAGGGCCCAGTTCTCTACACTAGACATATACATTATAATTATATATTAGAATTCCAAGCCAAGCATCACAGCTACTCTGCCATGCCTGACCCTTCGATGAACCACCCCATGTGAGGAAAGACGGAGCCTTTCTCGACGTGCATTGGACAGCTTCTTGCCCAAACGTCCAATAAAGGGCCTTGGTCGGGAATTTTGGAAGTTGAGGATGATGATGCAATTGTGTGCTTGCTAGACTGGTCAGGACTCACATGAGGCATTGACAGGTTGCTGTAGGCTAGGGAGCCCTTGCAGCTGAAGTGTCCATAGTTGCCCATCCAACTTAGAGTGCACTGATCATGGTACAAGGAGTGATGAAGTACATGGGTGAGCATGCATCACACAACATTGTCAGAGGGCTCGGCAAGAACACCCTGTGTACAGGGATAACCTCGCTGATCATGTCGAACACATCACGCACAAACGGCAGCAACTCCAGCTTGGAAGAAAACGGTTGTTCAAGCATGAAGAGAACTCGTCGTGCCGTGAGCAAAAGAAGCAACAAGCACACCCGTGCTGCAATCCTCAGATAACAGCAGGGATCATAATTCACATGAAGCCCATGGTTCACCAGTTCACTTGATCATCTTTCTATCCAAGCAACTTGTTGCCTTTGGCGACATGTGGCAGATCTTCATTGCCATAAGGACGTGCTGCTGATCTCTTTGATGTTGCTGAATTAATCCAAACAAAGGATCCACAGGGCAATCCAATTGTTGCCAAGGCCAGAGGCTTCAGCTTCAAGATGCAGCGAACAGCTGATATAAAGCCAACCCTTAGCTCTAATATTCTATGCATCATGACACTGCATTATTGCTTGCGACTGCCATCCAAGGAGCGTGGTGCAGATATCATCGTCGATGCGAAGTGTCATATCCATATAGTCACTTAGCTTCAAATCATACCCTCCTCGCGATTGAGAGCTAGAGCAATTTTAGTATTAGTATTACTTTAGAAGGTAGATAGGGACAATTCAATTGCAGATGAGAGGCCTCCTCATGCCGTCCCGACCTGAGTGCATGCGCAAACATGAATGAACACGTAGAATGCAAGACGGCCATACACAGGATCTGCTGCAAACAAGGCACAGTATGCTCTTTGCATGTTTCGTGCCCCGGCAAACATGTCGTAGTGCATAAGGTCCTGGGTCGCAGACTAGCTTATTATATAGCGTATGTACTATAACACGAGGCCGTGACCCGAAAGCTCATGTTTGGCGGAGAATTCTGGGCCACGTAGTCCGCCACTTGGATCCTTGTGTAGCTCTAGCAGGTCTCGGGCTTTTGAATTGTAGTTGCATTGCAATATTGGGACATGAATATGTCCAGATGAGCTACAATGCTGAGTGAGCCCCCATCATGACCAGGAGTGCTGCCGCTGATGACGACAGTGACAATGGGCTGCTTTGCGGAAAGCGATCCATGGATTTAAATCCGGCCAGGTTTTGTTGGTGGGATCTATTTAGGGTGTCCAGGGTGAGGGTGTACGTTATTATATGGAAACTATCTTTATATATATATTCTATATATATATATATATAGAGACATTAAAATAACTAATAGGATAATTATAGGGTTGGGGGACTTGGTTACTATGCTGGCTTGGAATTCCTATTTCGTCTAACCCCATAGCTAGCGATCTCCAATCACAAGCCGGAGCAGACCTGGCATACGGTTCCACTATACGTAGTAGGTATACCTGCTGAAACTCATTCCTCGCCCCATACCAAGACATGCATGTGCGAGACGATATCTCATTTTTTTGCATCTCTCGTTGAAAGTCAACAAGACTGTCCCAGTCCGAATTGGGTGTACAGGCGGCACAAGTGTTCTCAACTTACACCCTAAGCGCATACCAGTGTATATATATATATATATATGTGTATATATATAGGTCTAGGCAAACCTTATTACTCCCTCTATGGTAGCCTGCTCAATCCCTGCTGTACACCAACAGCAGCTTTGCAAGGTAGCTGTGAACCTGGGTGGTAGCTGCTGTCCTGTGGCCTACGTCTTGGGCGCCGGAAGAGGCCAGTATGGCTTCAGCCACCCAGCCACTTTTTTCGCAAGTCTGTACCTGGAAATCGGGATATCAGGATCTGATCGGGGATCTCATAAGTGCATGGATCTGACTTCGAAGAGCAGCCGGGGCACACTCGTTGAAGATCCCCCAAATCGCCCTTCTTCCAAGCCAGGCTCACACCCTCGTTCTTGTTCGCCTGCAACAATCCAAATACATCTTATAAGAATTCGATTCTAGATTGGAAAGTATGGAGGAAGCACGACTTTCATATGTACGGGTATAATTAGTAAATTAGTAATACACGTAGGATTCCTCGGCACATCTGGCCGCCATGGATTTCGAAATTGCACTTGCTGATGGAAGCTCCAGTGATGGTATGGACGGTGCGGGTTCCAGCACGAGCACATGGTCACTTATATCTAGGCATGTGCACGATCTCGAACAACGTGTACAACAACTGGAGAGAGCAATGCCGCCGCCTTGCATCGTCGTGTCTTACAGAGCCTGTGATTTCGTTGGCCGAATGTTGGTGCGGATGTGTCGCCGCTTGTATGAGCTCGTGATGAACCGTCCTTATTCTGCTGGTCCAGCTCGCAATCGACCGGCTCGATATCCCGAGGCAGTCTGACATTGAATGTATGCTAGTCGATATATCAGACTATATACCACCGGCGCTGGGATGCAAAAAAATCTGTTGTTTCTTTGGGCTTATCATTGGGGTATTTTCGGATGATGGTTCAGGGCCTGAGTCTGTGTCCGATCCCCTCAAAACCCCTATTTATGTTGTCTAATAGAAAACCCCATGGTCACAAAGGCAGCAGGCCTTGAGGTTGGCATCGGAGGTGTATTTGTTGATGGCTCGGAGACGTTCAGGTGGAACTTTGCTCACATAAAAGCCACCTTGGAGCCTTGGCTGAACATCATTGTAAACTTGTAGGAAACATGTATCTATGATCTCATGTAGTGACAATGTACGTAGTGTGCATCCCAACTGCAAAGTTTGGATGGAGCGTGCACCACCATCCTTGTTCTCCTCCTGCACCTTCGGGGAGGGATTCAGCGTAAAGGACCTTGGATACAAACCACATTTGTAATACACAGGAAACACGACCCGAAGCAGAAGCCCAACTTACTTAGAGGATCATGGGACTTAGTAATGTAGGTTATAACTGGGGTTATATATAAGTCCCCTAAGTGGGGTTATCCTAATTATAACCTACTTATAACCTTACTTACTAAGTCCCATGAGCCTTTAAGTAAAGATGATTAATGGCAAGCCACGCAATGTCCGAAAAGTCAGTCGGCAGCAGCATACTGTTGTCCAACAACCGCAGCTGTCGGAGGTCGTGGAGAACCGAGTCTTTCTTCGCCTTGTCACAGTGATAATGCGTAAGTTTTGCAGGATTGTGTTCAACAGGAATCTATATAAGAACATGTACACATGCGTAGCGGTCCCTGCCTCAATCTGTTGTCTTGACTTGGGCATGGGGTTGTCGGCGTCGTACTTTGGCTTGGACTTTCTCTTACACTTGGCTAGCCGAGGGGTCCATCCAGTCGACTTGTGAGGTCGCAGCAGCCCAACAGGGGATCCAGCCGGCTCCTGTAGAAGACAAGCTATTCTAGCGATTTATAATTAGATCTTCTTGCAATTCGAGTTTATGGGAGGTTTCAATTACAGTAGGGGTTCAGGTTCTTCAGTCCTGCTGGGGCTCATCTTCTGCCTCATTGTCATTCTTTCTCGGTGGGGTGCTTCCCACAACTTTTTTGGACTTCCTGCCACCCTTCTTTTTCATCTTTCTTTTTTTCTTCACAACCACACCAGCAGGTGGCTCGCCATCTGCATCCATTGCGTCCCACGTGCAGCTGGAAGCCGGCTGCTCCTGGACGGAACTTAATTTTGGGGCTTTGGGGTTTAGGGAATAAGTTATTAAAATTCTTAAAACACATAGATACACGTACTTGTGGTATATATACGTACATATAATTAATATATAGATACAATATATTGTATATATATATATATATTTATTTATTTATTTAAATTATATATACAGATCATATTATGATCATGAATACCATACATACGTATCCCGGTAGCCATTATTATTTGCAAATGGCCTCCACTTGTGGCCACGGCTCTTCGCTGCAGTGCTCGAACTCGAGGCGGCGCTTTACACCTTTCTGGCGTTTGGCATGATCTGCACCACCCCCACATCCTGCTGCATCATCCTTTCCTTGGGCTTCTTCCTCAAACCCTGCTGCATCATCCTTTCCTTCGGCTTTTTCCTCAAACCCTCCTGCAGCATGCTCTCCTTCGCCTTTTGCCTCACACTCTGCTTCATCATGACATTCTTTGCTCTTTCTACCTTTCTTTTTCTTTCCTTTGCCCTTCTTAGCCTTCTTCTTTTGATCTTCATCGGCTTCTTCACGAACATCATTCTTCACCTGCTCTTCTTCTTTCTCTAGCTCCAAAGCCTCACTCAACACCTCATCTGCTTCCCTGTCATCTTCCAACACGGCGTTGGTCTCTGCTGTTGCTTCTGCTTTTGCTTTTGCTTTTGCTTTTGCTTTTGCTTTTGCTTTGCTTTTTGCCTTTGCCTTTCCTTTCGCTTTAGCTTTGGGCTTGCCTTTGGATTCGGGGCCCCGGTCCTCATCAGCTTCATCTTCTGCTGGGCCTTCACGTATGGTTTTTCGAAGCTTTCTTTGCTCCTCGAATTGCATAATATATATATATATATAGAGAGAGAGAGTAGAAACATTGAACGATTTAGCAGTACAACCCACCTGCAAGACGTTGTCACTTAAGGGCCCTGTCTTCTTCTCCAGCTCCTCGACCAGTTTGTCGGCTTCAGCCAGCCTTTGATCTAACGTCTGCCAGATTGGCCACGGTATCGAAGTCAGCGGCACCCTGCCATCGTCCTGACAAACAGGTTGATTAGCTTGTACATGATTTGGTATAATCTATTTCTCTCTCTATTTCTCTCTCTGTCTCTCTCTGTCTGTCTCTCGCGCTCACAAAGATGCACCTTGTAGTTCTCCTCAAAAGCATCATCCTCATCTGCTGCTGCTTCCATCGGCAGCTCCCTGTCTGCCGCTTTGGTCGGGGTGCTAGCGCCAGCGTCCTGCCATATATATTTTAGGTTATAATAGATCAGCAATCAGAATGCCTAAAGAGGCACCTCGTATTTGCCATCGGGAACACTGTCATCCTCTACCACCACCGGCCACGGATCAAAGATCGGCTGGCTATCTGGGAATTCCATCCGCGGCTGGGCATCCTGTCCACACATTAATAAGGCTTGAAACTCTATACATGTATACACGAGTATACGGGAACATGCATGCGGTCCTTGCTACTGTCATCCCACGAGCTTGTTGCTGTTGCGATAGCAGGTGGCACCTGCAAGTTATACAATCATGGGAACCCCGGCATGTAAACAGACTACTTGCAATTGTGCTTCTGGCCTCCTGTGTTTCCTCAGTCTTTTGCTTCTTCTTCTTCTCGGTTGAGGCCGTCTTTGCTGCTACCGGGGACTCCTGTGTTTCCTCAGTCTTTTGCTTCTTCTTCTTCTTTGTTGAGCCCGTCTTTGCTGCTACGGGGGACTCCTGTGTTTCCTCAGTCTTTTGGTTCTTCATCTTCTTCGTTGAGGCCGTCTTTGCTGCTACGGGGGAAAGAGCCAACTCCTGCCAGTACATGGAAAATCACAAATGTGCATTGTTTGGTTATGATGATCCATGCAAGCAGCCTCGAGCTTGGGACACCTGTCTGGCGTCTGCCCTGGCAACATGACCTCAGCAAGGGCAGTTACAACTAGAAATTTCTCCAATTAATTTATTTTGCTGCCTTGTCCACACCAAAGTTCAGCTTGTCGGTGGGGCTGCTTGGACCAGGCACCTGCGAAACGAGCATTATGATAAGGAACACAATATATATTCTTTGTTAATTATTATTAGAGTCATAGTAGAATCCTGCACCTCCTGTGTTTCCTCACTCTTTTGCTTATTCTTCTTCGACATTGCCGGTGAGCTCGAATCCACAGTGACCTATGCAATCAGACATGTTTGAAGGCCACCGAAACACATTATAATGTTATTATTATCACGTAATGGCGCTGCTGGCTTGCCTTCGAAGCAGACAAGGACATGTGCTCTTTCCTCCTTTTGTTCTTCGTCGAAGATCTTGGTGGGGACGGTGTTGGGGATCTCGATGGCCGTGGAACCTCAAGTAGATGATTTGGTCTAGGTCTAGAATCTATATATATGTCTACAAGAATTTAATATCAGCCTGGCAACATCTCCTTCTTCCAGAAACTCAGAGCTCGAAAACTGAGAGCTGCG